CATGTGCGTGTTCAGCGTGGAGCTTCGATTGAAGGCCTTTCCGCAGGTTTTGCACACGTGAGGCTTCTCCGAAGTGTGGATGATTTTGTGCCGGCAAAGCGTGCTGGCCTGTCGAAAGCCCTTGTTGCAGATCTGCAAAAAACAGAAAAGCCGTCGTTCGGTTACAGATATTGTTTTTTCTTGTAAATGACGTTCATTCTGCCCAATGTCGTTTAAAGACTAAGGATTCGACCGGAGGAATGAACAGCTAAAATCTAAGCACAATTCAAATATGAGATCCAATGTGGCCCCGTGTTCTGTGACTCTCTCAGTTTCGCGTAAGACATTGAATTTGGTGTCTGTAAGTTGGAGCGGGAACGAGGACATTCTTTGATCTGTGACTCAAAACATCACTCAAGGTAGTCCCACAGGGGTTCTGAGCTCACGTCAGTTTGTTGCTAGAGAAAAATTGCCTATGTATGGGGCAGACCTCCTTTCTGCAGGTCTTGCCTAGTATGTCCTGTTACTATTCTCCGCTTCACCAGCAAGGTGGCTTTCTTTCCAATCGAGAAGTAGCTGTGCCGTCTATCTCCAGTATTTTACTCAGAGGTCAGTAGCGTAAATTCCTGACGAGAGAATTCGTATCGCCTGGCTTGGTGTTGACTGTTAGCGCGCACTTTGCAAGATCCTCCACCCTGTTGCCTAACGGGCTCCACCACTGAATGTCTCCATGACGAAAACTGTCCGTCTAGTGGCCAAAATGACTACTATTTCTGAATTTTAGGTTCAGAAGTCAGGCAGACCAGGTAACAAGAAGTGCACTGTGGAAGCTTGTTAAACGTACGGACTGACCTTGCAGATGAAGGGTCTCGCGCCCGTATGGATGGGCATATGACGGGTTAGGTTGTAGTGGGCATTGAAAACCTTGTCACAGTGCGGACAGACGAAGGTCTTAGCAGCTGTGTTGGGGTCCTCCCTGTCCGAGCTGTTATCCCAGCCTCGAGAGTCGCTGTAGAGAAGCTCGGCACCTATTGTCTCCTTGCCGCCGGCCCTGAAAGACTCCCAGACGCCCACGCGGCTGATACTGTCGTCTGATTGGTTGCTCGTCAGCACCATGTCGTCGCGCCTGTTGGTGGTCTTACTTGACCAGTGGGCGACGGAGGAAACGTGAGCAGTCGATACCGACGAGTCACCAGTAGACTCTCTGCTTCGGGCCACCTTCCTGTTCGAATTCATCAGTCCGTCGATTGAGAAGGACAGACCAGAGGAGCAGCTTGACATGGCTGGAGGTGAAGAAGAACCATTAGTTGACGGGGAAGATGCCGATCGGAAATTATCTACCTTGACTATCACCTGACTCACGAGGCCACTTGTAGGATAAGATTCACAATGAACAGGCACCAGGCTGATGCATTTTACGTTCCGTCAGATCCTCGAAGACTGGCAAAGCTCCCTTCTTACCGGCTGAGTTACATACCTCTACAGACTCCAGCAAGGACACCTTGAATACGTGGCCTATATGTGAAAATTTCGACTAGCCGCAGCCTATACTGGGTAAGATGTGGTTTGGTAGCCGCACCTGTTGGACACAATATTGTTGGGGTTGTGGTTAGCGGTTACGATTATGGTTAGGGGTTAGGATTAGGAGTAAGGGTTAGGGGTCAGGGTTAGGGGGTAAGTGTTTAGGGTTAGGGGTTATAGTTAGGGGTTAGAGCAACTATTTCTCAACCATTCAAAGTACAACCGCGCATTCCAAATAACTTTTCTTTTACATACAATTACTTGACCTCGTCGCCTGCGCGTTTCTCGGCCCCACCTGTAAGAACCCCCATTACCACCGGTCCCGTATTACTGGTGACTGGAGTCCGTTTCCTTCAGGTGGGGCTACATAGCCACATCCGACCATATACTGTCTTACGGTAGCCTAAGAGTTTACTTTGACCAAAAACAACAGCTACGGCCCGAGAGCTGAAGATAACTCCTAGCTTATCTTTCAAGCAGTCCAGGGTTATGGCATGTTTCCTTTGTGTAACTAAACCTTCACTAACTTGGCAATAAGGAGAGTCAGGTGCCTAAACGTTAAATCCCCTGACTTTTTCCAGCGGATACTTGCGATAGCAGAGGTGGGGTCCATACGGCTAGCCAACCCAACTTTGTGCACGCAGAATGCGTCCCTTCAAGCTTTCCTGATAGTGCATATCCGCATCTTACATCGCCAAGTTACAGCGACGAAACTCAAACATCGTCTACTGCCTTCCCGACAAAACTAAGCCATAATTCTTTTGCCCTGTTTGGAGATGTCTAGATAACCTTAACCTCCACTCCCTCCCCCCACAACTTTCGTTCAGTGGTTATTTTTGTAATTCTGTCGGCTGCCGTAACTGTATTGGTTGCCTGATGAGGGATCGAAAAGTACCTTCGCCGACTCTGAGTTCCAACATCAAATGGCAGTTGGACATGAACAAGTATCAGAAGATGGGACTGCTGGAACAAGGGTTTTGCTAGTCTGACGTTTCGGATTCTCACTCGAAACCACCACCAGAGGCAGTCTCAGACGCAGTTAGTGATCTATTTCATGAAATGCTAACCGAAACGACGAAATGCGTTTGCGGTTAGGAAGGGTTACTTAGGTGGTGCTGTACTACTGACTGCCCGGCAGCATACAGTAGGCGGGCTAACTCATGAAATGTCGACCGAAATTTCGAAATGTAAAACCAGTCAGCATGCAAAATAATTCTATAATATTTCAGTTACCTCAGGATGCCGGCTTTCGAATGAACTCCCTTCCGGCTGAATACAAAAATTACACCCTGTAAAAATGACTACTTAATTAGCATGAGTTTTTCTCATGGATTTTCGATCGCCCTAAATGTCCAATTATATTTCATGGAAAACAAGCATAAAAATATTCATTCTTTTGCTCATTCGGTAGAAAATTACGTCTTCTTTCAATTGTATGCTGGAAGGAGGAACATAATTCGGTTCTAAAAAAGTTTCTAGCTGTGGCCGTTCATAAACGTCATGTCTCTGCATTTACCAATGTGGCTTGTAAAGTTAAAAATATGAGTCAAATCCACGGTTAAATTTTATGAACCTCATATGGTCCCCCTTTATTACCGTACAGAAATATTTGGTTTTCCGTAA